CCAATATTTTGACTTGTTTTGATTTTAAATAAAAAAATTTACTTAGAATGATCGTTACTTTTCGATAGAGCTGGCACTATACTGTTAAATATCATATTCACCTTGTTAATATAAATGTAAATGTCATTCGTTGGTCCCGCTTCCATAGATGCATATATCGAAATTCTCTTGGGTCCAATTGCGTCCTGCGAATATTGCATAGATAGTCGTTCGAGACGTCTTTGCAATTGAATCAAATGTAAATCTGCTTTATTTCTTTATAAATTAATTTTTTTTCTCTATTTACAAAAGTTTAAAATTATTTCTTTAAACATATAAGAAATCCTTTTTTTTAATTAAAATCTTTCGGGATTTATTAATGAAACAGTGAAAAAAGGCTTAAGTAAAAGTAATGCAAAAGAAAATAAAAATTTAATTTCATAAAACAAATGATATTTAATTGGTAAATAAAGTTATGTAGTTTGCTTAAAAATAGGTTCTTTCATTGTAACATGATTCGAAATATTTGTAAAAAAATGTTATTTATTTCTTTGACTTGTGATTGAACAACTTTTAAGCTGGAAAAATATTTTCTCAAGAAAAAACGAATGACTAAAGTCTGATTGGATTTTTTCTACAAATTGTGATTGCTCGAGGATATTTTCTTGCGGAAAAGGTTCTAATATAATTTCGCAGGTGTGCAGGAACTTAGAAGAAAAAAAAGATAAAATGCGAATCTGGAGTTTGCGGGAGTGACCTGAGTCTTTTCTTATTTTCTTAAAAAAGATTATTTGAATGCCAAGCAAATGCATACCTAGTGGATTTACTTTTTTACTAAACCTCAATATACTTTTGTTTTCATACTTATTTTTTCATACTTTTCTCATTTTCATTTGTTGATCCTACATTTTTTAACAATAATTTAAAACTCTATAGTGTCTACTACTAAACAGATCTACGTTTAATTTAAAAACTTGTACCAACCTTTTTCTGTATCTACTTATACTTAAATTTTCATTCCAAACTCACGCTAGGCTAAAACGTTTGCCGAAAATGCACCTGGACTGTTGAGTCTAGAAACAGAAAAAATAAATGGATTAGAAGACAAATCGTCAAAGAAAGTAAATAGTACATCTGTTGTTTTCTTGTACTTACCTTCTTTCGCCAATAGAACTTTCTATTCGCTTGAAGTTTGCGACTTATCTTCATGTGTGTTTCTTTACTCTGTAGAGTTCAGGTATTTCATTTAGTTTACGCTAGTGAACTAAATTGTTTATTTTTTTTTCTTTTCGAGAGAGCCAACTATAAAATGTTACGTAAATATTTACAAACCATTCTTTTCAATTTTTTGCAATTTATCCGAAATATGTTTCAATAAATAAATGTAATTATTTTTTTACAGCTTCTGTCAACACAAATTTAGATATGAAACATAAAGTATAACGGATTTAAGAGATAAAATGAATTGTCTGATTTCATTTTTGGAAAAATCGAATATCTGTAACAATATGTAATAAGCTTTTAAACAATCAAAATATATTCGTCTGATAAAATAATGATTTCAAGTTATTGTTGACTCAGAATAATAGAAAAATACAATTGAATTTTTATAATACAGTAATTGAAAAAAATATTCTGACAAAATTATTATAATGACAAAATTTATTTGTCATAAAAAAAACCAAATACCCTATCGCTGTTACTCATGACTTCATAATTAATTCAATTTATAGAATTAATAATTATAGTATTAATAAAGATATTTTAACATTATTTCCTGTTAATCAACATTTTCTATTAGTATTGAAACGAACAATGACTATTAAAAAACTTGAAATCAAAATAAAAAAGAATTTTTATTGAAAATTGAAATTTCTCGATTACTAATTGAAGCTAAAACTTTGAATAAAGCTGTGAAAATTTGTATATTACCCGGTAATATAATGTGGTGTATTTTCCTAACTACATTACGTTCACATACGGTTTATTAAACCTCATTTTGTCTTTTGAAGTAACTGTTCAACTATTCGAAGCAATTTCGGAATTAAATTTCGTCCAGTGTTTATTTTTGATTTAAAGTTTGAATAGTTGATATAAAATAGCCACGTTCTACTAAAGTACTTATAAAATATGAATATTTAATTGTGTGATGAAAACTTGAGCAACATAATTCATTTCTAGATTGCTTAAATTAACAATATTTTCATTTTTAATCAAGAATCAATTTTTTCTTCTTATTTTTAATGAACTTAGCTAAAAGTAAAATTAAATTTATGCTCTCATAAGTTTCTTTCATTTCCCCACTCACGATACTACTCGGTTATTTCTTCTCACCAACGCTTGACTCTACAACCGTAAAGTTATTAATTAAACTCGATTTTCCTTGCTTTTCTTCTACTCTTTTCCTTCTTTATCATCTTTTTCTGTACTTCTTACGTTTTTTAGTGCACTAAGTATTGGAGAATAAATGGAAAACGAGTCCGGGATTTTACGGGCTACTTCAGTGTAGCAGTAAAAATTTTTTTATTTTCCTTTGCCTCTTCTTTTAGATCATTTTTCTTGTCTTACTTTTATTTATTTCAATTCATTTTATTTCCAATAGTTTTCAAACATTTTAAAGTACGTATATTTATTATAAAAACACTATACTGTTTATAATAATGCATTATTGCAGAATAGTGAAAAAAAAGGAATGCAATTTTTACTTTTAATCATACAAATAATTTTTTTATGAACTGTACTTCGAACGAGTTAAAAAGTCTTTAAGTGGCTGGAAAAGAAGAATAGAAGAAAAAAGAATAAAACAAGATAAAGATTTTCCAGCCAGAACAAGTTGAACTTCATCAAAATACCCCTTGGGGTGTATAAAGCCATATTAGACGTTGCACACTGTGAGCTTCGCAATAGCTGCTTCGTGGTTTCTTAGCTCTCTGGAGTATTCGTGTCTGGTTGGGTTCCTATCATTAACTCCAGCCAAGTAAATACTATTATAATGCATCTGTTGACTGATCTTTATATTTAAATAATCATTAGCCTGACAAAATATTTTGTTATTTGCAGTCTCAACAATTCAACAATATCGCTGGGTCTATGCATTCTGAAAAATCATAAACGTTGAGAAATGTTGTAATCAATTTTAGTAAAATTTAACAAATGCTACTTTCAAACTTTTTCTATTCTTAATTATATTTTTTAAGTGGTTCTTCTTTAACGATGTACTTTGTACAGTTATTTTGAACAAGTTGTACATTTCAACCTATAATATAAAATAATAAAACATTTAATGACAGTCATATTGCTGATTAAAAATTGATTATTCTTTCAAAGGGTTATTAAGTACACATATAAAAGTGTGAAATTAATTCCAACATTATGAGAATTTCAAAACTAGTTGAGTCTAAAAAAATATTATATAACATGTTTTTTTAATAAAATTAATTATTCGAAACACAAAAATCATTAGTTATTAACGTAACTATTGATTACAAGTTGATTATCAAATTAATTATCATTTTCACCATTCACTCTTTCTAAACTTTTTCATTCTTATCCTTACACTTATTTCTCAACTTACTTTTATTTTTCTCCCCTATCTCTTAGGTTTTATTACCAATTTGGTTGTTTATTTTACAAATAATTTTCGGTTTTTCATCAATTTGGAATCCTTTTATTAAGCAAGCACCTACCAAAAAAATATATAATTTGTTGATTATCAATATTTTTATGAACATTGGTGATGCTTTTTATGATTTTTGGAAAAAGCCTTTTAGATTGTAAAAACCTTCGACAACTTCTGATAAATGGCCTAAAGACATCTGCTACACGATTCAGAGTAGCGTTGTCTTCTTGTCTATATCGTCATCTCTTTCCTCTATGCCTTCAGTTATCGTTGTCATCGTGATCGTAGAAGCAAAGATAAATTGATGTGAGTCACGCGTGGTTCATAAACCCTCAAAAAATATCACAACTATTGTCAGTGGACACGAGAATTTTTTAAACTAAAATCGATCGTTTTATTCTCAATGGTTTCGTTCATTTACTCTATATATTTGAAAGAAATAATGTATATATATATACAAATATTACACAAATACCAACAAGTTCCATTACTTTTTGACTTGATTTCAGAGATTAAATTGCGAGTCAGCTCGCGATTCTTCCATTAATCGCAGTGCTGTCGCTCTGCAACGACATTGTTGAACGAGACTAAGCTCACAGGGTGGTCACAGTATAGTCAAGTCTAAGACATAAAAAGAAAGAAAAAACATTAAAGAACAATAAAAACGTAAAGTTCAACCAGAGAAAGAAGACAATGAAACGGAACGAAACTGTTGTAAGAAGTGACACGACAACAGAACACGCGTAGATCTTATGAAACAAAAAACCACGATTTTCATCAAGAGCACCGGTCTATCATAGAACTGAGTAACAATCGATCGTGAAAGAAAAAATAAGACTAGAAAATGACAACAGGTTAAATATCCTAGTAATAATGAAAATACAATCCAATATTTATTTTTAAGCTTTTCTTGCTTTTATGGAAAATCATTTGTTAAGTAGTAATTTTAATAATTATAAAAATTATGAATGCATCTGTAAAATGAAAAAAGGAACGAGTTTAGACTTTAAAGAAAGCTAAATGTAGAGTTAAAATATAGAATACAGGAATAGTAAAAACAGTCTGACTATTTATTGCCCTAGTCACATGTTAATTTGTGCGACGCGCATCATTCTTTCTCCGCTTGTACTCACTATGAGTCACGCAGGATTTCCATGTTCTTTGTAATCGAGTCACTTTTAACTTCCCTTTGGTCCAGACGAGATATTGGATCTTTAGCATAAGTCCAAGTTCATCTTTTATTCTTTGGAAAAATGTCGGAAATTCGTGAAATAACATTTAGGATTAAATTCCAAGTGGAATTATCTTCCCTAATAGATTGAAAAAAATAAAAATGTATGAATTTCTCGTCTAAATGTGCAGTTTTTCAGTTAATCGTAATAATGATTTTTTTCCATTGCAGGAAGGCGTACGAGAAATCTAGATATCCTTGGGGAAATACCGAGTCATCACCTGCTATCTCTCGACTCAGGCGCTGACGACTCCAGAAATTGTAAGTTTTTCTAATTAATTTTTTTTTATAAAAGAAGTGTCATAAAAAATTGCTAAATCATTCGGTTAAATGGCATTCAGGTATCAAGATGTATGACAAATATAAGTTTCAAATGAATACTCTGTGAAGCAAATAAAAAGAAAAAAAATAATAATAACAATGAAAAAAAGGCAGGGAAACGGAAAAATGAATGGAAACGGAATCTGTGTCTCACTAATGACCGCATCTCTAGTGGAGAATTCATAAAATGAACTGTTTCACGGCCTCATGGTTGTACCACCCTCTCGTTGGATCTTCTTCTCATCTCTTTTGTTCTCTCACACCAGCAAGCATGAGCATAAGAATGATTCTATACCGCACCCTCTCCGTTTACACGCTCGTAGATTCTCACGGTCTATTTCCGTCGGAAGAAAATCGATTTTTCCACTGACTTACCAATTGGAATAAAGTCTGTCTTTATGCAAAATTATACATATTAATGATAGCGAAAAAGATAGGGAGAAAAGTTTATCTATATTATCTTCGCTGTTCAATATTTGTTTATTTTTAACTCTGAATATTTTATGGAAATTTCTCTTCAATTACAACAAATTGCATCTCACTCTCGACCCGATTTCATCCTCTAACAATGTTCCGTCTTCGGCTTTAAAATCAAAAGGTAATAAATCCTCCTTTATCATGCTTCCAACACACGTTCTTAGATTCTTTTGCTTGCACTTTATGTGATTATCAGTGATGTCAACGTTCAGCAATTCAACAGTCCGATTGAATTTTCTGAAATAATTTAATGTATAAGTTGAATCCTTAAATATATTCGCCATTTTTATTGACTTTCCTCGGAATTATAAAAAAATGTTTGCATGAGACACGATATATTTCCAATAAAAATGAAAAATTTTGTATGCGTGATTGCTTCATGTTATAAAAGTAAATGTGCAAACAACTTTAACAGTTTTGTGTTTTCCTTTAATTGTTCTGATTTAGGTTCTATTTTGTTTAACTCTACTCGAGTAAAAATAAATAGGCCGAAAACACGCTCAAAATTAAATAAGCCCAATACAGACCCGATTGAAGCCCAATCTTGACTTCGAGAAATTTTCAGCGCTCAAAACAAGCCCATTACAGGCCTAAATTTTGAAGGAGCCCAATTGAAGTCCAAAAATATTTTCGAGGCCCACAACACGCCCAATTTGAGCCTAAAAATATTGTCCAGGCCCATTTTCTAAGATTATATTTGACAATGATGACAATAAAAATATTACAAATGTAAATTTGTAGCACGAAAGTTAATTCGATGATAAGTTTTTATGACAATTTTTTTTTCTTTTCTAATTTTTTAAAATATTTTTGGGCTTCAATTGGGCGTTTTTTAGGCCTGCAAAATAGTTTTAGGCTTGATTTAGGACTTCAATCGGGCGCGTTGAGAGCCTCAAAAATCATTTGGGCTTGAATTGGGTCTCCTTTAGGCGCGCCCAAATACTGATCATTTTTACTCGGGTAATCGTCTTATCTAATATTATAGTTTTTAAGTAATTATTTTAATGCAAAGAATAATTTTCAATATGTACTTGATAAAAACTATAACATCCAAATAATTACAATCTAAAATAGTAAATTTTCACAATAATTTCTTATTTATTACTGTAAAAGTATAATATATCTTTTTGTAATCTAATTTGTACTTAGTTAAAGCAAATTTTACTAAGCAATTTTGAAATACTTCAACAATAATGAAGCAAAGTAAAGAATTTCGTTAGAAAAGATTGCCAAGAATATGAGATGGCTGAAGATACTAGTGAAATCTCTTGTTTAATAGTCAGATATCGATTATAACAAATTCACATAGTTGATGACAATTTAATAAAGTTTTTTTATAGCATACGAGTTTTAATTATCATCCTATCTTGCTGATTATAAATAAATATTGCTATCAACGATTCAAGATTAAGTGTTGTGCATAACGTTTTTCTTAGAATAAGAATAGAATATTGTTAACAATTAAATACTATGTAATAACATGAAGTACAATGTTATATCGGTAATTATTGAGGAATATTTGAATTAGCGATGAAGGATTGTTAACAAAAGTATTGTTTCTTTAATTTCATATATTCTATCTTTCTTTATAGTATCTAATTGATTAAAATATTCCTTTTTTGGAAAATTGCTTTCTCAATTATAATTTTATTGCAATTTTAATTGAAATTACAATGGAAACTATAATATGTTATATATTTATGCGTTAGAATGCATTGAATACCCACTTGGCTGTCGATTTATTAAATAAGTTATGAAAATAGAAGTCAGAATAACATCATAAAATATTGTTATTTAAAAAATAATTCATCATTAAGATGAAGGAAAAATATTTATATAAAATATTAGTCTTGATTAAACATGTATACGATTGTTTTGAATTATTACAAAATTACTTATTTGATAGCTCTTGATTTTATTTACCCATAGACTGAAAAAATACCGTATTATATTTTTAATTTTATTAGGATCTGATCATACTCTGGAATACTTGAACTAATTTCTAGTCGGCTATATCTGAAACAATTTTTTTTCCTAAATGAATGATTGTAATTACGGATATGTTTACGTGAGCTGATTAATAATCAAAAAGCTATGTAAGCCGATCTATTCTATTATGCATTAACAAAAAATAAAAATCCATTCAGCTGCATCGGTCAGACGCCCAGTAATCTTATCCCTATGTGTCAATAGATATCCATTTGATGTACTGTAATATCAATTTCACTTTGTACCAATTAGTAATCAACAAATTTTTCTCTTAACGTATGAAACTAATAAACTTTAAATTAGAGTTAATGGAATCATGATAAAATCAATTTTTCAATTGATTGGAAAAAAAAAAATTTTCCTCGTTAATTTTATAAAATAATTATCTCTTTACGTAATTTATTTCCCCAGAATTTAATTCATTTCCCCAGTAACGGATCAAAAAAATAAATATCATTAATTACGTAAGTAAATCGTTAATTAGAGGACAAATCAACAAGTAAATATTCTCAGCAAATACTTTTATTTCAACTTAATCTCTAAAAGTCAGAACTCATTTATCATTTTTAGTAATTACTTTATGCAGATGAATTATTTACCCATTATGTTATTGTCACAACTTGCACGTATTTTATCATGGACTCTCATCAATTAAATGCTTTTTATTATCAAGCAAAGCTTTATGGTTATTTATATCGATTACTATCTTTAGTAATTTTATGAGATTAATCATTTAGACAAATTCTTTTATTTATTTATGCCGGAAATACTACATATAGTATTTCCTACAGACATTGAATGGCTTGAGAAAAAATTATAGTATTAAATGTAACTTATTGAATATTTAATATACAATATTCTGAGTACTAGTAAAGTAATTTTATAAAAAAACAAATTGTGTTTATAGTCAATATAGTTAAATTGATTTTGTAGCAAACTATTGTGATATAAAAATCGGTAAATTATTTGTAAGAGATAAATAATAAAAAAATCATTATTTACAAAATATTATAACATGATCTAACATGATGACCGCAAATTATACGATGCGGAGACGAAGTGGCAAAGTAATAGCATGAATATGAATGAATGCGCGTGGGAAACGAAATAAAATGATTCAAAGAGACGTGGGCTTCTAGCTTTTTCATACTTTCATCCGAGTAACGAGACGTTAAAAGTTGGCATTTGCGTCAAGTTGTCTTACTTACAGAAATGAAAATAAAAACATTTTCATACTAAAAACGATGAAAAAAAGGTTAGAACTTTCAAATGAAATTTAAGTGAAGAGTTTCCGAAAGTTTTTCTTTTACATTTTTACAGTCGATGGAATTATTTTAAATGTCATTAAAACAATATTATTGAAATTTCTTTTACATTAATTCAATTACTTGAAGATATAAATCATGAAAAGTGAAGATGTATGAAAAAATGTTTATTTTATGGTTGTTCTTTGTTAATTACTTGTTTCTATTTATTTTTCAATTTCGTAGATACTTATCAGATAACAATTACAAAGCAAACAGTTTACAAAAAAATTTAATTAAATCTAAAATCTTTAGAGAATCTGTAAACATCTTGGTTGAGAGCAGACAAAAAAGTGCTTATGCAATTGTATTATTTTTATTAACAGACGTAGAACATTTTAATTGAAAATAGAAGATACAAAAATACATTTAGCATAGGTTTCAATGATTTTTCAGCACCATTCAGATTGAAAAAAAATAAAAGATATAGAAAATTTCACGTAAAAGATAGACCGTGAACGAAAATACAAAGAACTGAATAAAGATTCTGCGCTTCAGAAAATCTGGTCTTTAATTACGTTCTCGTAGAATCTGTCTTTGAGAAGAGTAAATAAGGGTAAATTATACTTCAGACTTTACTTCTATCTTCTTTTGATTTATTAAGTTTTCCTTTTCCGTTTAACATTATTCTTTATTTTCTAACGACTTATTTTACTTTATTTGCTCATAAGTTTATACAAAACATTTTGTCTAAGAGAGGTATTCTCAAAAATGTGTAATAATAATGATGGAATGATAAAACGAAGAATAGATGCATTTTATGTCACTACTGATCACAGTTAATCTCTTTGCACCACGTTATAACAGGATTTATAGCCATTAGAGACTTATATCTATAGCATACCAAGGTTAATGCTCAATAATAATACTATATGCACTCCGGACGTGCTTTTTAGTGCACTATGAATCTCATAGATTAACGACCAGCATATAGTTAATGTTGTTTTAAATAAATTTTGTATAATATTTTTTCTTGTTAATTCATTGATCGAATCAGATATTACAGGTGTTCAAATTTAAAAAATAATTTCTTTTGATATTAGGAAAGCGATATGTGGTTACCACAGAAGATTGAAAAATCAGAGATCAAAATTTATATCAGTCTTGATGATTGTTAAATCTACAAAGAAGAATTTAAAGTAACAAATATCAATTTTCGATAAAACCTGAATAATGGTCAGATGATCCATAGTTAATGGCTCACATTGCTATAAAAAATAAAATTTAGATGACAGATGTAGAGAAAAAAACTCTTTCAATTTTGACTCATTATTTGACCATTGTATTAAACGACAATTCAAATTTGAACTTTAAATAAGTTAATCTTCAGATCAACGCACAAATTTTTTTGAAATTTCAATTGCATTTTCATATAAATATTTAACCTTGAGTTTGTAAAAATTTTAAGCTAATCTTTAGTCAAATGAATTATGAAATTAATTGTTCATATTTTATTTTTATAATTTTAAATTATGATTTGTTTCAATGCACAATTATTATTATTTAATAAATTACTCATATCTTCTTCACTAATCTGTAATTATAAATGAATACAGTTATCTATTCCTGTCACTTGTTATTAAATGACATTATACTCTTTCTAAAATTAGGCCATGGAAATAGCCTTCAATTTACGAGTAATGGTAATCAAAATTTGTCTTTTAATTATAATAACAACACATTTTTATTATCAATATATTAAGTCTATCGTTTATTATTTAGCAATCATCAATTTTATGGATAAACTCATTTCATTGGTGAGGTTTGTAGTATTATTTCATTAAGAAAAAGTTGACACAACAGTTTATGTGATCAAAGTGATTTTTTTCAATTAAAATATTGATAAAATAAATTTATTTTCTCGTCATCCATTGTAATATCCTTAATCGACTTATTCAGTTGAAATCATATGCAAATTTTTTTGTTGATATTAGATGTCTTTTGCATAATCGATACGCTGCATAATGAAGATTATGTTGTAATCTGTTACATCGGAGTATTCATTGATAACTAATCCACAGAAGTATATAAATTTTGGTAATATCGGTGTATATTAATATAGGATAAACATAGACTTATAAAAACATTTTGTCAATTGAAATGATTTTCAATTTTTGTAATTACTCTGGAAATTTCAATAAATGTATTTCTAAAAATATCTGGTATTTTGAGCACTAAAAATACAAATAAAAACTCAATATAATAGAGGAATATAACGAAAAAGATAAATAAATATTACTATATTTAATAGCTTTTTAATACGTTGAAATATATTAATACAAAAAATAGAATCTCATCACAAATAGATTTTTTAAAAATAAGGAAATTTATCTCTTGTACTGAATTCATGAAAAATAATAATATTAAAAAAATTACTTTTATATAAATAAAATAGATAATTTTACATTTTATTAATGAAAAATATCCAGGTCACTGAATAGACGTTCCTTTATTTTTCTCTTTATTTTTTAAATTGAATTTCTATGTTTGCATTCATACTCAACCTATAAATTACAAACCTCTGAAATAGTATGAATTCGATACCAATTAATTGAATTGACCAGTAGAGAGAAGAATAATTTTTGAAATAAATTCAACAATTCAAAATTTCTGTTACAGATGCAGATGATTCTATGCCAATATTCGCAGAAGCAATATCAAACGTGACAGTCAGTGTTGGTAGGGATGCATTATTAGCGTGTGTCGTTGATAACCTTAAACGTTATCAGGTAAATTAATAATGATATTTATGTATGATGAAAAAATAAAAGGTTTCAAAAATTTACAGTAAAATATTTTATTCTTCATACAATACTTTTATGATTTTTGCAGGTGGCATGGGTTCGCGTAGATACTCAAACAATTCTTTCAATTCACGACAATGTAATCACTCAAAACCCCCGGATTTCATTGTCATACAATGACCACCGCTCGTGGTATCTTCACATAAAAAATGTGCAAGAAACTGATCGAGGATGGTACATGTGTCAAATCAACACTGACCCAATGAGAAGTATGCAAGGTTATCTCCAAGTAGTAGGTAAGTTAAAAAAATTTTCCATGTTAGGATGTTAAAAATTATTTTATATATAAAATTATATAATGATACAGAATAAAATTTTCTTGTATTTTACAAAATAATATAAAATGTGTTGTATTCTTTGCTCCATTAATATGGAACCACTGCTGGTCTAGTCGATGAGCATGACCAGATGATAATACCATATCAAAAATGACCTATATAAGTTCTTAATTCATTTGATTTCTAATTATGCATTCAGTTTAATAGAAAATAATAAATACAGACACATCAATTAAGCTTAAAAATCCAATCGTTATTCCTATTTTCATATATAGTAAGTTTAATTATTGTTATTGTAATTAAAACAGTGTCTGGAGGTCTATCATTCCCTTTCCGAACAGGGGAGAGTCAGGGAGTTATCAAACTGGTAGAATAGTGGAAGGGAGAATCCACAATTACTATACATAATTATAAAACACTAGGGTATTTTACTATAGTCATACCTCTCAAGTTATGATTCATATAGAATCTGTAGATGAAAGGGTTAGTTGCTATATCTTGTTTACACATGAAAGTGCTCTAATCAAGATTTTTTAATGGTTTCGAATATATTGAAATAAATTAAAACTTGTAGGATTATGAAAAGTTTTAACTTCTTATTTTTATATTAACATAATACTTTTATGCTTGAGTAGTACAAAATATAATTGAATTATTTTTATATTAAACATAGTTATGTTTATAAAATTGTTCTTCAAATAAAAACCACATTAAAAATGAGGGTTACGCCACTCCAGCTCTCAAAGCCTCATTCATCATTGTAATCAATCATAGATTGCTTCGAGAACTCAAGAACTGAGTGTAGAATGAAAAAGGAAGAAAATTCTTTTTTAAAATATTCAAATCATCATGTTATTGTAACAACTCCTCTGTTCAATTTATTTTCTTTTATGCAGTTGTGTTATTTTTGAAGAAAATATAACAGCATCGCTATATAAAGTTCTTTCCTCTATTTTTGTATACCGAAGTTCATCAATAAGACTTGTTATAATAAAAAAAAATCATGTGAGCTGGAACTAGATTCCAATTTTAGTAGACGTTTTTCATTTTTTCAATAGTTATTGCTTCGTCATTTAATCTTAGATATTATTTTTATTTGTATTCTTTAGATTTTCATATTTTTGTCTAAAATCTATTCATCTGTTAGATGATATTCTTTAATCCTTGAAAAATTACTCTCTTTATCATTTTTTAAAAGAAATGAAATGATCTCTTTGTCATACATAATTTTTTATCAATAGACAAATAACAACTATTTTCTTTTTGTTCTGTGCTGCAAAAGTTGTTGCTTAGTATAGACATCCTTAGACTTTTAAACTAAAACTTATGCCATGGATTTCATTTATTTTTTTTAAAGTAAAAAGTAAAAAATAGGAATTTAAAAGCCATCTGAATTAATTTTTTCTTTGTCTTCTTAATAGTTCATCATGTTTCATTTAATACCACCTAGTTGCAGAAAGAAATAATTTTTTCATTTGTTAGAAAAAGAAAAGCTAAATTTCCCTTTTAATGTAGATTAATGGACGCGTTTTATACACAAAGTTTTTTTCTGTTACAAAAAATTTCTTCACAAGTGTGAAACAATTTTTTCTTGGATAAAAAGTTTAGTTTCTTACTAATAGTTCTCGTATTGAAAAATAAATTAAAAAGTTTTGAAATATTATTCAAACTATTTATAGTTCTTTCATCATTTTTTTAGTAGCTTAATTTCTTAATTATCTATTTGAAAATCTATTAAAAATGAACAAATTGTTCACAATACCATACATTTCTTTTCGATATAATATCTATATTTATTTGGATAATTTTCATATCTGTTTTAATATTCTTTTTTGGTTTTCTGTGTTTAATATTCGTTTTTATAATTGGATCTTTATATTTAACAAACCAAATAATAATTTCATTTCCGCATTTCTATTTTCGGGTTTATTTAGAAGAATATTATTGTAGTCTCTTCATTATATCTTACATGGTAGTAATATTTATCTCAAAACAACTCGAGCTTTCATCAGCAAACTTATCTAATACGGATCATGATAATAGTATACGATTAAATACTTTTATACGTCATCGACTTATACATGTCTTAAATAATTCATATTTGAACATAATCTAATGTCTATCATATTTTGATATTCATTTCATAGTGCTGTTTCGTTTCATAATTGTAAAGATTTCTGTTAATTTTCTTCAGTAAGTTAATTAACTGATATCATTTTCTCGGGTGTTTATAATTGACTTCGGGAAAAAGTTATTTATTCAACGAATTAAATATCAATCTAGCTAAAAAAGATGGTTTTAAAAAAAAAATTATATCACTGTGAAAAGTCTTCTATTTTAGGTAAAAAGTCGTCCTCTACTGTTGAGGAAGTCATACATCTCGACATACGTACTTGTTTACTTTATCTATTTGTAAACTTTTAATGATATGAGCTTATTTGAAGTGCAAAATATTTTGTGTTGCTGTAAAAAAAATGCAAGTTTGAGTTTATTAGTACGTGTTATACAAGTTTGAATAAAGTCTGTTTAAAAAATAACATTAAATACAGAATACTGGTATTTAGATAATGATAATTATAAAAGTTTGAATTCGAGTCAGAATTTTACTCTAATCTTGCTGCTGAATGCTCTAAAAATCTACATTGTTACTAGAGAACTTCTTGACAAAAATTATTTTGTCGCTGAACCTGCTGACATAGGTTATTTGAAAAAGAAAAATTTTATCTTTATACAGAATATCTATGCAGTCTCTATGATAATTATAAACTTATTAATAAAAAATAAGCGAATAAATTAATTCAACAATATATTATAATTAATAGAAATTGAATTTCATTATTAAATATTAATTGAAGAATAAAAAGAAAAGTAGTGATTATTTAGTCAAAGCTGTACACGGAGAAAAATGCAAAATAAAAATTATAGTCCAACACTAAAAACTGGACGCATTTTGTCAGTTTAGTGATTTTTATAAAGATTTAAATGAAAAATTATAAGTTTCACTAGAAAAATTGTAGTTTAGCTAATAATTTTTATTGTTCAGCACGGTAAAATTTCAATTTCTCTCTCACTCCAAGCACACAGGCGATTGAAGGCCCATATTTTACAATTAAAATGAAATGATTAATAATCGGCAGAGAGTTCCATGAGTCGAGACTTTTTTCTTGAAATTGATTGGCGAATCGGATTCAATTGTTTAATTTACAATATCTATAAAATTGATAGATATATTACAGAAAACTTGAAAAAATTTTTTAAAATCATCATACAGCTTTGAGATGAGAAAGGTTCAACGCATGCGTGCCCACGTTTATACACGTGCGTCGTAAAAGCGGTCATACTTTACCATTATTTTTTTAATATTACTATTATTATTATTATAAAATTACAGCTGAAATATAAAAGAAAATTTGTAAATAATGTTAATAAAATTTATTGCTGGCAAAGAGTGACATCTTGCGTCCAGTTCACCGTGCCGCACGGTAATTTCCTTAGAGTTTTCAATATTTTCTATTGGAATTTTTTCTCCGTGTATACGCTCGATTTCCTTGAAATTTTAGTATGTTGTAGAGAAAATTATATTGATTAATTTAACATGTATAAATCAATAGTGACATCATTGCATAAGAATTTACATAATATATCGATTTCTTTATTTACATTTTTCTGTTATTGTGTGTTTTTACAATTTGCTTTATCAGAAATGTGAAAAGGACTTTATTCATATTCACCTATAATTAAAGCATTCATGAAAGAAATGTCCCCAATGTATCTGATAGAAACTGATGACTGTCTATACCAGTGAATAAATTATTGACGGGGAGGGAGGTGTTGAAAATTGTGATTAGATTTTTAACAATCCCCCCACTCTCAAACATCTCCAACATCAAATATTTGCGAAATACCAATTATTCAAGATGGTGTACATTTTACAATTTTCGAACCTAAAAAACTATGTGAAGGAATGTTTTACGTATCTAACATATATATATACATATATATATATATATATATATATAAATTAATCTATTGTATTATTTGGACTGGTATCACCCTCTCGATTTCCAAAATTCCCGTGCGACTGAAGGCACGCTTTTCGGAAAAAAGTAATTTTTTCTTGCGACCAGGACTCGAACCTGGATCCTCCAAGGTTTGCGCATTAGGTGTTTTTTACCACATAAGCTATCGCAATACTTTTAATTACTATTCTCCTAGATGCACCCATACTCATCATGGTCCGACGAGAACTCCGTCGTCCTTCTTACGGTCTTAAATTTAAGTAAATTTAATAAATCGCTAAAAAAAAATAATCCTGCAAGTACAGCGTATGCAATTACAGTGTACTTTTGCCCTCATTTTCACCTTTTTTTTCAAAAAATAAATTCATTACAACGTGGCAACCTCGTGTCCTCAAATAATACCTTGTATATAGATCAGTGGCTCAAATAATACGTTGGATACATGATTTTTTTGGGGGATTGTCCCTAAACTATACAAATGTCCTCAAATAATACCTTGTACTTAAGAAATGTCCCCAAATGACACTCTGATTAGATTTATATGTATATAGACTGAAAAAAATCATGTTTAATTAAAGTAAGATTTATAAAAAACTGTATGACATACTAAAATTTCAAGGAAATCGGGCGTGTGCAACCTAAACTAAATAATTACCAGAAAAATAATAGACCTAAAAAGGATCAATAATAGTTATTAAATAGTAATAGAAAATTAATATTACTTTTTACAGGGAATATTATTAAAAACAATTAATTAGTATCAAAAATAGTTTATAACAACAATCTTCATTTGACAGTAATAAAATAATTTTATTAAAAACAATATTATGCTGTTAGAAGTAATTAAATATCATAACAATCAATTTATCGTTATCAATAATTATTGAATATTATTTTCATGATAACATATTGTTTTGTATTTATTTGAAATTGATTTTATCAACATTTGACGACCAAAAATTATAAAGAAGAAGGTAGAATTATGGGTCACTTTTTATTTTTCTTCAATTATATTTACTCTGTTTAATTATCATCAATTGTCACTTTTCGAAGTTTTTGTTTATTAATAATTACCGACAAGTTATTTTTTAATTGTTTGTGGATAAGCTGATGAAAGATGCATCGGGCTCAAATAGTAAACGTATGGACCATTAATATTATAGACTGGACCATAATTCTACCTTCTTTATCTTATGATTTAAAATAATCTCTAATAGTTAGAAATGACAAGAAAATGTTTTTGATGATATTAAATTATTTATAATGATACATTATTGTATTTACTTTTGAGTAAAGATTGCAGTTATAAACTATTTTAAACAGTAGCTAATCATTGCTATCAATGTTTAATAGGAAAAAAAATATCAACTATGAATAATTAATTTTTCTCCATACCTCAATCGAAAGTCCGTCCCTCCCGCACCGATTTCAAAGACGAAAGCGTAAGATTTGTGCACCGGTAAGGTTACACACGCGCGCCCTCTAAAACAGCTGTTAAGCTATGCTGTCTGAACGTAGGCATTCTTTAGTTCTGTCACTTTTATATGTGAGTCGTCTTATAATTTATAATAAATATATTAGTTAAATAGTGATGTCCAACTCATGCAAATGAACAAATTTCAGAATGTTTATCAACAAATTCAAGATTCAACAAAGATCCATGTAATATGTATATGAATTGCGTATTTCATGGAAATATCATAAATAATTTCTATTATTCTTGTATTAATTGTAAAGACAATAAAAAAAAAAATATGCAATAAAATAGCGTTTAATTAAAAATAAAGTAATTCTTTAATGTAATGTGAAATGTGATCTTTGAAATAAACAAATAATTATAAAAATAAAATTTTCTTTTTTAGTATAATTAAATTAAAATATTATTATGATTTTTATATGTTTTTAATGTCTGCCCCCTCCCCCCTGACCAGTAGCACTCGCTTCCCTCGGGCAGACAAATGTCGGGGCAGGCATTAAAAACATATATTCTATTCAATTTTAAATACTTTTATTTTTTTATTTAATTTTAAAAAATAAGTCTGTGAAAGAAAGAAAAAAAACCGAAGCTTCGGGAATGTCCGAAAGACGCGCTGGAATAAGGCGCAAAAGTGAAATATGGCCGTGTTATGGGCTGTCCGCTAAAACGTGGTTTTTTATTTATAGCTATTAGACGGACTTTCGACCGAGATATGAAGAAAAATAGTATACACTACATGGGCAGGAAGTTGAAATTCCTGCCCATGTAGCGTAATATACTATTAACTTTCTGATGAATTTTGTTTTTGTATATTTTTAACTATAAAATTGAGTTATTAATCATAGAATTTTTTTTATAATATTAAATATTGAACATTTAAATATGTTCAAAAAAAATTTTACGTTCAACACAGCGCAGTGCATAAAGAGATACCCACATGATCGTAAGACGTCAAGCAACGTTTCATGAACGGGTGACCGTTCGGAAACACCACTAAATGTTTACTATGTCCTGCTTGACCCCCTGAATTTAAATATCCCACTGAATCTCCTAAATATTTTATTAAGTTAAACCCCTTAAATTTTTTTTCTTGCTGAAACCCCTGAATTCGTTCAGGATATTATGCCACTGACAGTGCTTAATTGGAAATTATGAAGGAGGTTTACCGGCAAAACATACAAATATTTTATATTATTTTTTATAGGAAAAAAAAATTTTTTTATGCTGATTCTTCTAACTTTCAAAGGGTTCACCACCAAAATTAAAGAAGAATTCTGACTCGGAAAGTTTTTTCAATTGATTTATTTTGAAAAAAATTTTTAATTAACCATAGAAAAACATTTTTTCCGTATGTATATAAAGATTATCATTCTTTTAATTAAAAAAATTAAACAATTTTTGATTTAAATAATTAGATGATTTCGAGGTAACAATCATGGTAAGATTTCATAACTAAACTATTAATTAAATAGTGCTAGTACATTTTTTTCAACTTTCTGTTTTCAATTTTACCTTACAAATTAATTTTTTATGCTCAGTACCACCTAAAATAATTGCAAAGGAAACGAGTACAGACATGGTTGTAAGAGAAGCATCAAATGTAACGCTGGTATGCAAAGCAACCGGATATCCGGAACCCTACGTAATGTGGCGTCGCGAGGATGGCAGAAATATTAACTACAATGGTGAAAGTGGTAAGTTCGAGTCATAAACTAAATTTAAAAAGTATAATGTAAAAAGTAGAATGAATAGCATTCTTTGTCTGCTTATTTAAGATGTTTCATCTAATAGTGATTCATAATATTTAATATTCAAATTAGATTACTCTCGTCACTTACATTTTTTAATTATTTTTTTTTGTTTTTTTAAATAAAAACAGTATAAAATATCAAACATTGTTTTATGAACTATTTTTGAGTTTTTAAAAAGTTTACATCATTAGTTCTTGTTTATTGTGGAAAATCCTGATTAGAAATATGAATTATTTTAAAAAATATTGAAAAAAATGCAAATTTTTAATGGAACTTCAACTCCAAAAAGTAAAATTAAATTTATGAATTAAATTTGAAAATTGATTATAATGAAATAATGAACATTTCTTCTTCATATTAAAAAAGCGTTAATTTTCCCATCGATTGTAAACTGAATAATTCATTAAAAAATTTGAAAAGCAAAATAAATTTATGCTTTACTTGAGCACTGGCATCGAATATGACACTAGTAACCTGTCGGTTTGGAGCATGAATTCATTGGACCGATAATGCGGAAGCAGCATTGAGAATGACGTTCTGTAAATCGATAGTACCTATTGATGATAGGCAGAGGAAAAGAGAAAGCAGTAGAAACAGAATCAGAGAACTATCGAGACTAGATTCAAAGGTTGAACACAGCAACTGCATTCGTTCGTTACTGGCTTTGTAATCTGGCTAACTTGTGACATTCAGCAACGTCCACGTCCCCACGAGAGTTATCTGCATATTTGAAAAGCTCGAATGTGTCACCTAAAACCAGAACACTGAATATTTCTCGTTTTTTTCACGCATTCAAATATACAAAAATCATTTGGAACTGTTAATTGTTCATTCGTGGAAATTCAATTGACACGAATTCCATACAGAAATTTCTATATAGATATAAATGCTAAGAGAAAATTTATCGACTCTATTTACGTCAATTGCTATTTATATTTTCTATTCTTTCTCTTTTATAACGATAGTTATTCGACTTCAACATATTAGTTTTCCTCCATTGTATAAAAATTTTATTTTTTGAGTAACAAAAAAAATTACTAACCGAAATTTTTTCTATGGTTAATGATAATAATAATAGAATTAATTATAATTGACAATTTAGCTATTCAATCATTTATTTTTACGGATCTAAAATCAAAAAAATTGTTGTATATTCAAGTCAAACAGCATGAACTATTCAGTTAGCTGTTGTTGATGGTTTCCGATAGAGTAATAAAATATAACGTTAAAGTTAACTATTTTTTTTTCATACCGAGTAATAAATTTTTCTATAAATTTATCAGTGCAGAGTATAACATCAATAATAAGATAAAATTACAATTCAACTTTAATTATAATTTTTTTTTTCAATACATATGTAGGGGAAGACGGGATAAAGTGAAACATCACGAAAAAAATTTAAATCGACAAATTATCAATTATATTAAAAAATTTTAAGAATTTTTTATGCATTAATAAATTGAAAAATGGATAAACGAATAATGCAATAAGCGTTTTTAAACTTATTTTCATAAATTAGTATATTTTCTCGACCATTTCACTTTGCCCTCACGTCCCACTTTACCCACCCTTCCCCTATAAGAAATGATTGTTTAAATTACAGTTTAAATGAAAGTAGGTTATTAACCGTTAAAATGAATGAAATTCAATCGAAACATCGATTTTTAGAATTGTTTCGCACAACAGAATATAGCTCCAATCAACATTAATAATATTCACGCATTCTAAATTATATTGACTTTGGTAGTGTGACATACTCAACAAAACTTTAGAGTATATTATTCAAAAATAGATGTCACTGATTAATCATAAATTTAAATGAATATAAGTACAAAAATCATTTGACAAAAAAATCAAATTTATTTAATAAAGAATTTTGTTTTGATGATAAAGTATTAAAATTTTTATTTTAAAACAAATAATTAACCCTCATTGATAAAATAATTTTTGAGACTTTTCACTAACGTAGAAGTTCCTTATACCCTTCTATTACTAGTAATGAGTCTGTCCATTATAATTTAGTATACTAATTATGTTTCCACCTATACACAATACAGAACCTATGAGAAATTTCAGCTGGAATGACAGGCATTTGTCATGTAATTATTTAGAGGTGCTACGGAACATTGAGGACACATTTCGTGAAATCTAATGCTCATGACATACACTGAAGGTTGGTCAGTATGGGTTGATTCATCGATTCTCTCTACAATTGACTTTGTAATAATGAATTAACGACACCCTAATTCTTGTGACTGACATCCATTAGAATAATTAAAGCAAATTTAATATGTCAATAATAGTCAAATTTACTGAACTTGTTTTTTATATTCACTTAGTCTGTATGACAGAAAAGTTAAACTTATTGAATGATTGATATTAATTCAATTATTATAGACTAGAATAAAGAGAATCATTTCACAGGAAGAGTGATATTTATAACATCAATATTCCAATAATCATCATGATACTTACAATATGTTCTATGAACATCTATTGACTAAGTGAGTAATATATTAATGACTGAATATAACAAAATGAGTTATTATTACTGATTAAACATGAATAAATTACTATGGTCTTGATCAAATTGCTCTGAAGCTGAAATTTTCTAATTTCATTAGTTTTTCACTATCAGAGGATAAAATCACTTTCTCATCAGTCAATTAAGTTTGGTTGTAATCTTTGTTTGTTCAAATTATTATTATTGTAAATAAAAAATAAGAAATTGATTTTCTAAGAAACAATTGATGATCATAAAGATTTATGATGTTTCATAGTTTCGATTATAGTTGTATTGAATAAATGGCAGATGTAGATACTTTATAAATTATAATTTTTTGATATCATCGTCAATTGTATATTCTTTACTTTTCATCTAATCTTATTAGTTCAACAAACAACTAATTTCATAAAATAATAGAAAAATATCTTTTTGTTTGAAACAAGGACTACAATCCGAATGGTATACACAATGCAACCAATACACTATTTAGTTTGGGGGAGCAAACACTGCTTCATTGAATAAACAAAAACTGTTTATTTTATTTTTAAAAAGATTGATCTCACATTGCTTCATATGATAGAATGTCATAAAAAATTGTCAATGCTCTTTTAGCTAAAAATCATTTTTTTCACACACGATAAAGTTTTTTAATTCCAATTTTCATTTGAATAAATATTTAGTATAATGTTAATTTTTTTTAGCTCAATAATTACAATGAAAGAATTAAAAAAATTAAAGAGAGAAATTTAATCGAATAAATCTACTTTTGATACATGTATGAAGCAGAAAATTTCAATGAAATAAAAAATGGTATGAGAATATTTATTACAACTGACGAGAATGAAAGAGAGTTTGAAACTTTATGGTAGCATACTCTGTAACCAATTGAGAATCATAAAGTCCTCACATCTGCTGATCTGACACGAATCAAATGCCAACACATTCGTATAATAAACTTGATCGACCAATCGTCGAGATTTGTCGAGAGAGCGATGGAACTGAGGAAATCTGGATTCGGTTTGTTATGGTAGGGATCCCAGGAGAGCACTTGGGATGTACCTGACCAGCTCGTGCATTTTCGTGTACCGAATATATATAGAGTGATTGCTTGCCGCCAATTCCCATGCGACAAATGGTCAGCCTAGTCATGTGCATAATACCAACATGTGGATCAACCAACATGTTATCTAACGATCTTGGAGACTGACCTAATAGATCAGTTTTGATTATTAACATGATGTACGAGGTGTCCAGGGAAATACATAAGATACATAAAAAAATTAATAAACATTGAGCTAGAATCATTTTACTCACCAGTTTCATCGTGACTGATGCGCTGACCTCCAGGGATTTCAAAGGATACTTGATGTCATTAGGTGCTGATAGCCTTTATATACCCGACAATTCGACCCTCTTTTTCGCAATTTAGGAAACGTAATAAAGCACAGATTACCTTGATTTCTTTACGACATAGAACAAAGAAAATCTCGATAGTCTGAAAATAGAGGAGAAAAACTGATTAGAGTAAATTGAAGAAAGATTATTGTGTATTCAATCTTTGTCATTAAAGATATTATTTTATTAGATGCATTCATTGGAATTAAATTCTTAAATTAAAAAAATAAAAAAACTATTAAAACCTAAATGTCATAACTTGCTACTTAATTAAAATTGTTAATAAATTACTGTATGTATTGAGTATACTGTATACTATATCAAAAAGTAGTTTGAATTTTACGGTTCGTAGACATTTTTTTATGTAACGATATAATTCATCTATACTGATGAAAATGAGAGATTACTAAATTAGTGATTCAAGTGCTTAAATTAATTATGTTAAGAGCTTTACTAGTTAGAAGTATCACTTAATCTCTGGTTACATGATTACACGTTATGTGATCTGTGAATTACACTTCCCTGATAGACAAGAGTTGAAATTTGTATTAATTTGAGCTTAATATGTTATAATACATACATATTGAGCTTAAATTAATGTTAAATTTTAACTTTTGTCTATTACGGTTGGGTTATATCAAGTTGAGTTAATATTTTTAGATGAATGTGAATTGTTGCAACTGTCTATAGATGTTTTCTTTAAATAATAAATATTAAAGAAAGGAAAGAAGAGGTTTAAAAATAGTAAAAGATGCGCGAATACGACATTACGAATGAGAATATATCAGAAATTATATTGATACTAACTTAACCTGAATGTTTTGGATAAAAGTATTATTTTGTGCTAACAAAAAAGAAATACTTATGCACTGCACTTTTTATGAGGTAAAAAGAATGACAAAAATAGAGATTGTACCATAAGTTATTTTATAAATTACTCAGTAATGAGCAGTTAAAATTTTCTTTTTTATCCATATAATAAGTAATTTATGATTTTTTTTTATTCAATATTTAACTATTGTTTGCATACAGTAAAGGAGTC